AGTTCCACCGAAGGGCGTCTACCCCTTCCCTCCTGTGCTTGTCATCTTCAAAAGCCGAAGCGGTCTACTAAAGACAATGAGAAGAAAAGCAGGGTTCAAACGGTCACTTCGGCCATCTGCTCGTTAATTATTCTGGTCCAAGACCCTTGCAACAACAACGTGCAAGGACTCGAGCCAGAGCGATCCAGGCCAGAGGAAACTCACGACAGGAACAGAAACATTACGGACATGTGTCGGGCAAAAGCTAAGCCGCCAGCACACCCCCGCCTGCCCTGCCCAGCTCACACACCCCCCCCCGTGTCCCTCTTCGCCCAAAGGCTGCCGGCTGGCTCGCTCGATCTCTTGACGTCGGACTGACATCAATAGCTGCGCTTTTCCCAAACACCGAAGCGCAAGGGTCGGGAACCAAGCGGCGCTCGCCCCTCCCTGCCCACGAAGCCGAGCTCGGCCACAGACTACAGCCCACGCCAGAGGCTAGCTGGGACGGAGCCTGCGTGCCCGCCCTTCCCTCCCGCCCAAGGCCACCGCGACCCTTCCTAGCACGTTTCCCTTGAACCCAAGGCGCGCGGCTTTTCCAGGGGCACGTACGCCTGCCCAAGCAGCGCGTCCTAGGTCGGGGGTGGGAGAGTGGTTGCGTAGGTATGGCGGGGGCTGCGCGTCCTGTCCTGACAGATTCCCCCCCCCTTTTTTTTGCTGGCGTCAGCTTGTCTGGACGCTGCCGCCTTTCCTTTTTATCTCGGCCACACACACCCTTTCTCCCACATGGGGTGGGGGACTCGAGAGCAGGGGACCCCACAGAAACTCCCCGGCGACACTCGGGCTGTGCGCTTGTTCCCGCTCTCCGTGACAGGCGCTTCCAACGAGGCGGTAAGCCCTTCCCTTCGTTTCCCGGGCCGTAAAAGAGCTCCCACCGCAAAGGAGGCGGGGGAAAGCACTTTACAGGATTTTACTTTGGTTTTCTTCCTGGGGGCGCCCCCTTCTTGGGCGGCGGCTGGGAAGGAGGAAGCGCGGAAGCGTTCCCCGCTTGAGGGACCAAAGGTGGTCGAGCAACAGCGGAGGATTTTGGGCTGGCCACGCTCCGCCCAGAGCCCTCCCCGAAGGCCGCGCCTGTTCCCGCTCCCGCCGCCCCCCCTGGCAGCGAGACAAACCCTGCCCGCCCCCATCCACCTCCCGGGGCTTTAACCAGCAACACCCTCTCGCCGTCACAAGGGACAGAAGGTGGGGCCCTGAAGCTTTCCATATAAAGGGGTCGAGGAGACACCTCGCTGCCAGGTTTTCCCTTCCACACGCACACGTGCAGTCGGGGCTTTGGGTGGCTCCTGCCTACAGCCCAGCGTGACAGTCCTGAGGAGAAAAAGAAGACCCACTTGGGGAAGGGGGGGCGTAAAGTGAGGCGCAAAGCCCAAGCCCGGCCAGGTGAGGGGCCGACTCACTCGCCAAACCGACGCGCCCGGCGCCCACCTGTGAGCGGGAAAAGCGAGGCGAGAGCTTCGCTCCGTCAGACGCCGAAGCCCCTTAAAGCTCACCTCGCCGCTCCTCCGATACTCTCCAATGAGCGCCGCCACCCTGGAGAGCCTGGACTCGCTGCCCTGCTACCGGAGCTGGTCCGTGGAGTCCGCCAATTTCTACGACGCCAAGGTAGGCGAAGGCGGGGGCCTGAGTCCGTCGTGCAAAGCGGGCAGCATGAGCGCCGTCATCGTGGTCGAGGAACCCGGCCCGATCTCCGCGGCCTCCAGCAACGGCAGTCGTGACCTGGCGGAGCTGAGCGCTGCCGCGCCGGCCATGTACGAGGACGAGAGCGCCATCGACTTCAGCTCCTACATCGACTCCATGGCAGCCGTGCCCAACCTGGAGCTGTGCAACGACGAGCTTTTCTTGGACCTCTTCAACAGCAACCACAAGGGTGGCGAGCGCGGCGGCGGCGGCAGCGCGTACGGGGAGTACCTGCCGCC